GAACACCTTTATAATCTATAACTTGTAATTCTTCTTTACCTGTAATATCTCTGTTTATTGTGTCAGTGCACAATTTCTCAGTCTCTCAGGATTACAGACTCGATAGAGAGATAGAAAGCGGAATACAGAATACAAAAGGCACATGCTGTCACCTATCAGTTAACCCCACTGCTTATATGCACCAATGTCTCCCTTCCAGCAAAACTGCAAATAATCATTAGCATCTTTATCCCTTTTTTATGTTATCAGTGCCAAACATGGACAATAAATAGGGCACTGGAACAGAAAATAACTACACGTGAAATATGCTTTGTTCGCAAAGTCACTAATAACACAAGAAGAGCCCGGGTTACGACTACCAGCATTAGAGAGAAAGTCGGAATAAGACCATGTCTGGATTATGTTGACAGACAAAGAATGAAATAGTTCGGCCATCTAGTGAGAATGCAGCCAGACCAAACTGCATATGAGACTTTTTACAGTAGAACATCTGGGAAGAAAGCGAGAAGAAGACCAAGAAAGAGATGGATAAATGGTGTAGCAGAAACCTGCAAAAAGATTAATAAATCCGACACCCAAGTCACCAGAGAAGGACAAAGCAAATACAGAAAACCACTACACAGGGCTACAGCCTGGTATCAATGAGACAACAAAACCACTACACAGGACTACAGCCTGGTATCAATGAGACGACAAAACCACTACACAGGGCTACAGCCTGGTATCAATGAGACGACAAAACCACTACACAGGACTACAGCCTGGTATCAATGAGACGACAAAACCACTACACAGGACTACAGCCTGGTATCAATGAGACGACAAACCCACTACACAGGACTACAGCCTGGTATCAATGAGACGACAAAACCACTACACAGGACTACAGCCTGGTATCAATGAGACGACAAAACCACTACACAGGACTACAGCCTGGTATCAATGAGACGACAAAACCACTACACAGGACTACAGCCTGGTATCAATGAGACGACAAAACCACTACACAGGACTACAGCCTGGTATCAATGAGACGACAAAACCACTACACAGGACTACAGCCTGGTATCAATGAGACGACAAAACCACTACACAGGGCTACAGCCTGGTATCAATGAGACGACAAAACCACTACACAGGACTACAGCCTGGTATCAATGAGACGACAAAACCACTACACAGGACTACAGCCTGGTATCAATGAGACGACAAAACCACTACACAGGACTACAGCCTGGTATCATGAGACGACAAAACCACTACACAGGACTACAGCCTGGTATAAATGAGACGACAAAACCACTACACAGGACTACAGCCTGGTATCAATGAGACGACAAAACCACTACACAGGACTACAGCCTGGTATCAATGAGACGACAAAACCACTACACAGGACTACAGCCTGGTATCAATGAGACGACAAAACCATTACACAGGACTACAGCCTGGTATCAATGAGACGACAAAACCACTACACAGGACTACAGCCTGGTATCAATGAGACGACAAAACCACTACACAGGACTACAGCCTGGTATCAATGAGACGACAAAACCACTACACAGGACTACAGCCTGGTATCAATGAGACGACAAAACCACTACACAGGACTACAGCCTGGTATCAATGAGACGACAAAACCACTACACAGGACTACAGCCTGGTATCAATGAGACGACAAAACCACTACACGGGACTACAGCCTGGTATCAATGAGACGACAAAAGAAGAAGGCAGACTACACACAAGAGCACGTGACACCTGCGAGAAATGGGATATGAAAGTCAACATATATAAGACAGAAACTTTGAAGAACGCTAAACGTCTTCTTTTTCTTAAATTAAATACCGCTTGGCGATGGTAGTCCACAACCTTCTGTCTCGTATGCTTTCAATTAGCTCTGACACAGATGATCCTTTATGCCACAATATTAAAGTGTCCAGCATGCTCTCTCTCTCTCTCTCTCTCTCTCTCTCTCTCTCTCTCTCTCTCTCTCTCTCTCTCTCTGTCGCCTTCTGCCTCTCTTCCCGTCCAGCTTTCTCACTGTCACGATGTACTCCAGTTTTCTCCTACTCATGAGATAACCAAAGAATGTAGAATGTCTCCTTTTGATGTGAGCAAACGGTTCTCTTGGTGAGTCAGTTTTTTTCAAGTCATCTTCATTGCTCTTTTTTTTCCCTTGTCCAGTGTATTCTCATCATTCGTCTATAAAACCACATCTCCGCAGCTTCCAGATAATTTTTCACTACTCGACCAACTGTCGATGATTTACTTCGGTATATCGGGATAACATTTATAAAACTTTTAAGAATTATCTTTAACTTTACAGTAGGCAAAGACAGATTGCTATAGGATATTCTTACTTTTGTCGGATGCTGCCGTTGCTTGAGCGATTCTACATTTAACTTGTTTAATACATCTTTCATCTGATGTTTTTAGGGTACCCGAGCACTTAAACATTAAAAATTACTCGAGGATTGTCCCACTTACTTTGATGTTGCACTTCAGAGGGTCCATTGCCTTTGTAGTTACCATCACTTCTGTTTTTTTAACGTCTTCGTTCAACTAAAATGTATACTCACAACTCAAAGATCACATTAAGTAGTACAGAAGATGGATACCGTGACAAGGAGATGAAATGATTATAATGTCAGAAGATCAGTGTATTTCGTTTTTAGCTCTTTCCACTACACAGACATTTCAAAAAGACATGGAAAACAAAAGACGATCAATGGCGTATGTATTTCAACTCTATTTTACTGTCACAAGAAAGTTTTGTCACGTGTCTACATTAGAGTCACCCGTAGTAATATAAGACACCATGAAATGTTATAATGTTGTGATAGTGGCTCGCATTAGCCTAGGCGGTCCTCCGCAGCTCTAAAAACCATCCAACACCACTCGAGGGATGAGGTAACTGAAGTACTTGGCACCACAGAATTTCCACAGATATTCCTCGGCATAACTTGACCAAACGTCCTCACCACTAGCTTGCCCCCAAACTGGATAGGGTCACAATTACAGCCAAAACACAGTTCACAAGAAATATGATTCAATAACAATACATACACTCAACCAACTAATTGAAATTAATTATAAAACATAAGACACTACCAAAGTTACTTTTAAGATAGCACTGCATTACGTAATAATTTCATGCAAATATTGGAAATCTCATTGGACTGCTTAAGATGAATGAAACACAAAAGAGTAGGACACACAAAAAATGTCTCAAATAGTCCAGAATGACCGTCAGAATTCTCTAGTCTTTAAATCATCACTGCTAGTGATGTGATAGGGTAAAGGTAAGCTTGGGCACTTGGTGTTTAGATGGCTGTACCATTAGTTTGCCAACGATTTACTCATCTGGAATTGGAGAACATTAGTACAATGTCAGACTGTAGTCAATGTAGATATACTTAATTAAGTATACCCAGACTGGGTTTTGACGACACCATTGAAAGTTCACAGGGTATGGCATGGTGTAGGCAGCAGCTCGAGGCAGTCAGATGTGGTCACCTAGGCGTAGAAACACTAGATGCTGCTGATGTGACAACAGGTGTCCTCTAGTTAGAGTGACCCTTCATGTCACTTCCCAAGGTGTTGCTTAGGTGACCGGATGGTATTTCAAGACTATAATTCTTACTACCAGGGGGAAAGAAGAAGAAGAAGAAAAAGATGAAGACAAAGAAGAAGAAGAAGAAGAAGAAGAAGAAGAAGAAGAAGAAGAAGAAGAAGAAGAAGAAGAAGAAGAAGAAGAAGAAGAAAAAGAAGAAGAAAAAAGAAGAAGAAGAAGAAGAAGAAGAAGAAGAAGAAGAAGAAGAAGAAGAAGAAGAAGAAGAAGAAGAAGAAGAAGAAGAAAAAGAAGCTCGAGAAAGAGGAGGAATATAAGTAAAAACAAAAGGGAAGGAGAAGAAGAAGAATTAGAAGAGAAAAACGGAAGGAAGGAATGAAAAAGAGGAAGGGGAGAAGGAGAAAAATAAGAATAAGATGATGGAGACGGAATATGGTGATGGCTAGGAGGACGAAGAGAAGGTGGGAGATGAGAAAAAGAAGAAGAAGAAGACGTGAAGGTCGTGGGTTAGTTTCACGGTTACGCTGAACAGTTCAAGAGGGAAACTTTTTAGTAACATTCTTGGAGTTCGTCACCATAGCTACGGAGTTCGTGCTTTGTGCGACTTTCTCAGCAGACAGCTAGGCCCTTTGCAGAAAGATAGTGAGACAATTTAACACCCCGCGCAGTTAAGTTGATGTATACTTTTAATTTCAGCATTAAATAATGTATTATATCTTTAGGCTTGTACATCATATAATCCTTAAACTTAATGGCAGCAGCCATACTATACGTTAGTCAACAAACTACATCATACTTTTGTGTTTCACGGGAAAGGAAAGGGAAACGGGGATGACCAAGAGAAACCCTACGTAGAACCATCATCAGGAAAGGCTCAACTATGGGCTTAATGAACATCGAAGATAAAAAAACAGGTGGCAACAAACTACCAGACATAGATCTATGACCTCTGCCCTATGCGCCTCCCAAGGCCCAAGAGGAAAGACTAACCATATGTTTAACAGTTCCAGCGACACGGTGTTTGGTGGTTGTGCACATGCGCTCATGTCAAAGAAATGACGCCACATTCAAGGTATGGGGAGCACTCCCTTTACGTGCAAAATAAAACAAGAAAAATAGATTTCGTGGCTATCCTCCAAATAACGGCCGCGTATTATGGCGGCCAAAAACAGGGTAAATTGCGGACTTTTTGACCGCCATAATATATGGCCGTTATTCGGAGGATAGCCCATTTAGTTTTTAAATGACATGCATCAAGCTCGAACTATAACAATTTAGGCTACTGGTAATTTAAAATGTTGCTTGCTTAGGATTTTATTAAGCCCATTTATATGTACATTGCTTGCTTTGTTTGTTTCGTTTTACACAATATTAAAAAACAATGACTAGCATATCTCTAAAGCAGCACCCCCATTGATGCTAGTTAGAAGCCGCCACTACACCTGAGCATTTTCATGTTGTTGTCTCTCCCTAACACACTCCCCAACACTCTCCCCAACACCTTCCCCAACACTCCCGCCAACACTCTCCCCAACACTCTCCCTAACACTCTCCCCAACACTCTCCCCAACACCTTCCCCAACACTCCCGCCAACACTCTCCCCAACACTCTCCCCAACACTCTCCCTAACACTCTCCCTAACACACTCCCCAACACTCTCCCTAACACTCTCCCTAACACTCTCCCCAACACTCTCCCTAACACTCTCCCTAACACGCTCCCCAACACTCTCCCTAACACTCTCCCCAACACTCTCCCTAACACTCTCCCCAACACTCTCCCCAACACTCTCCCCAACACTCTCCCACAATCTCTCCAACACTCTCCCCAACACTCTCCCCAACACTCTCCCCAACACTCTCCCCAACACTCTCCCACAATCTCTCCAACACTCTCCCCAACACTCTCCCCAACACTCTCCCACAATCTCTCCAACACTCTCCCCAACACTCTCCCCAACACTCCCGCCAACACTCTCCCCAACACTCTCCCCAACACTCTCCCCAACACTCTCCCCAACACTCTCCATAACACTCTCCCCAACACTCTCCCCAACACTCTCCCCAACACTCTCCCCAACACTCTCCCCAACACTCTCCCCAACACTCTCCCCAACACTCCCCCCAACACTCTCCCCAACACTCTCCCCAACACTCTCCCCAACACTCTCCCCACACACTCTCCCCAACACTCTCCCCAACACTCTCCAATAACACTCCACTCCCCAACACTCTCCCCAACACTCGTCCACAACACTCTCCCTCAACACTCTCCCCTAACACTCTCCCAACACTCTCCCTAACACTCCCCCTAACACTCTCCCCAACACTCTCCACAATCTCTACACTCTCCCCAACACTCTCCCCAACACTCTCCCTAACACTCTCCCCAACACTCTCCCCAACACTCTCCCACAATCTCTCCAACACTCTCCCCAACACTCTCCCAAACACTCTCCCTAACACTCTCCCCCAACACTCTCACCCACCACTCTCTCCCAACACTCTCCCCAACACTCTCCCCAAATCTCTCCCCCAACACTCTCCCACAATCTCTCCAACACTCTCCCCAACACTCTCCCTAACACTCTCCCTAACACTCTCCCCAACACTCTCCCACAATCTCCCCAACACTCTCCCCAACACTCTCCCTAACACTCTCCCTAACACTCTCCCTAACACTCTCCCCAACACTCTCCCACAATCTCTCCAACACTCTCAAGCACCAACACTCCAACACTCTCCCCGAACACTCCCCAACACTCTCCCCAACACTCTCCCCAACACTCTCCCTAACACTCTCCCCAACACTCTCCCCAACACTCTCCCACAATCTCTCCAACACTCTCCCACAATCTCTCCAACACTCTCCCCAACACTCTCCCCAACACTCTCCCTAACACTCTCCCCAACACTCTCCCCAACACTCTCCCCAACACTCTCCCCAACACTTTCCCCAACACTCTCCCCAATACTCTCTCCAACACTCTCCCTAACACTCTCCCCAATACTCTCTCCAACACTCTCCCTAACACTCTCCCCAACACTCTCCCCAACACTCTCCCCAACACTCTCCTTAACACTCTCCCCAACACTCTCTCCAACACTCTCCCTAACACTCTCCCCAACACTCTCCCCAACACTCTCTCCAACACTCTCCCCAACACTCTCTCCAACACTCTCCTTAACACTCTCCCCAAAACTCTCTCCAACACTCTCCCTAACACTCTCCCCAAAACACTCTCCTCTCAACTCTCCAAACACTCTCCCAACACTCTCCCCAACACTCTCCTTAACACTCTCCCCAACACTCGCTCCCAACACTCTCCCCAAAACTCTCCCCAACACTCCCCCAACACTCTCTCCAACACTCTCCCCAACACTCTCCCAACACTCTCCCCAACACTCTCCCCAACACTCTCCCCAACACTCTCCCCAACACTCTCACCAACACTCTCCCCAACACTCTCCCCAACACTCTCCCCAACACTCTTCCCAACACTCTCCCCAACACTCTCCCCAACACTCTCCTCAACACTCTCCCCAACACTCTCCCCAACACTTCCCCAACACTCTCCCCAACACTCTCCCCAACACTCTCCCCAACACTCTCCCCAACACTCTCCCCAACACTCTCCCTAACACTCTCCCCAACACTCTCCCCAACACTCTCCCCAACAGTCTCCCCAACACTCTCCCCAACACTCTCCCCAACACTCTCTCCCAACACTCTCCTAACTCTCCCCAACACTCTCCCCAACCCTCTCCTCCTCCTAACACTCTCCCCAACACTCTCCCTAACACTCTCCCAACACTCCTCCCCCAACACTCTCCCCAACACTCTCCCTAACACTCTCCCACCACTCTCCCTAACACTCTCCCCAACACTCTCCCCAACACTCTCCCCAACACTCTCCCCAACACTCTCCCCAACACTCTCCCTAACACTTCCCTAACACCCCCTAACACTCTCCCCAACACTCTCCCTAACACTCTCCCCAACACTCTCCCCAACACTCTCCCCAACACTCTTCCCAACACTCTCCCCAACACTCTATCCCAACAACTCTCCCCAACACTCTCCCAAAACACTCTCCCCAACACTCTCCCAACACTCCTCCCAACACTCTCCCCAACACTCTCCCCCAACACTCTCCCTAACACACTCTCCCTAACACTCTCCCAACACTCTCCCTAACACTCTCCCTAACACTCTCCCCAACACTCTCCAACACACTCTCCTCCCCAACACTCTCCCCAACACTCTCCCCAACACTCCACTCTCCCAAACACTCTTCCCCAACACTCTCACCCCAACACTCTCCCAACACTCTCCCCAACACTCTTCCAACACTCTTCCCAACACTCTCCCCAACACTCTTCCCAACCTCTCCCAAACACTCTCCCCAAACTCTTCCCAACACTCTCCCAACACTCTTCCCAACACTCTTCCCAACACTCTCCCCCAACACTCTCCCCCACTCTCCCACCTCTCCCAACACTCTCCCCAACCACTCTCCCAACACTCTCCCCAACACTCTCCCCACACTCTCCCCAACACTCTTCCCAACCTCTCCCCAACACTCTCCCCAACACTCTCCCCAACACTCTCCCCAACACTCTCCCCAAACACTCTCCCCAACACACTCTTCCCAACACTCTCCCCAAACACTCTCCCCACCACTCTCCCCAACACTCTCCCCAACACTCTCCCCAACACTCTCCCAAACACTCTCCCCAACACTCTCCCCAACACTCTCCCCAACACTCTCCCCAACACTCTCCCCAACACTCTCCCCAACTCCTCCCACACACGCCCCTCCCCAACACTCTCTCCCAACACTCGTCCCCAACACTCTTCCCAACACTCTCCCTCAACACTTCTCCCAACACTCTCCCCAACACTCTCCCCAACACCTCTCCCAACACTCTTCCCAACACTCTCCCCAACACTCTCCCCAACACTCGTCCCAACACTCTCCCCAACAATCTCCCCAACACTCTTCCCAACACTCTCCCCAACACTTCCAACACTCTCCCCAACACTCTCCCAACACTCTCCCCAACACTCTTCCCAACACCTCCCCAACACTCTCCCCAACACTCTCCCCAACACTCTCCCCAACACTCTCCCTAACACTCTCCCTAACACTCTCACCAACACTCTCCCTAACACTCTCCCTAACACTCTCCCCAACACTCTCCCTAAACACTCTCCCCAACACTCTCCCCAACACTCTCCCCAACACTCTTCCCAACACTCTCCCCAACACTCTCCCCAACACTCTCCCCAACACTCTCCCCGACACTCTCCCCAACACTCTCCCCAACACTCTCCCCAACACTCTCCCCAACACTCTCCCCAACACTCTCCCCAACACTCTCCCCAACACTCTCCCCAACACTCTCCCCGACACTCTCACCAACACTCTCCCCAACACTCTCACCAACACTAGAACCATGACACTGTTTGATTTCCTCGTTAAAAGATCGAATTTCTCAATTTGCAGCAATATAGTATGACAAAAACTGCCATTCACAAGTATTGATTGACATTCGGAGTATACAATGAAGACATGCAGACTACTGAAGATTATCCGGCAGAGGCAGTGTCATGATGGCTAGACGCTCGTCTGCTGGCCTGAAAGTTTTGGGGTCGAGTCCTGCTTGAGACGGATTCCTAACCCCCTTTCTAGAATAGCTCCCAGATCGAACCAGACTAAACTGGTTACTACATGATGTCATGGGAAGTAAAGGCGGCCAGTGTCTTGGTGAAGAAACTGAAAATGTCACAAACTGTGAATATCTAGGCTCTATAATAAATAGCAGTGAGGCTGTTAGACAGAAATCAAAAGGGGGAGAGTCATAACAATGCAACGATTAATCAGCATAAAAAGTCCATGGTTAAAGGAAATCAAAATTAACACTTTGAAAGCATGTATTTTCCCTTTAGCAACATACGGATGTGAGTCATGGACTATCTCCCAGTTCTCAAGAAAGAAAATAGGGGCTTTTGAGCTGAAAAGAGGAAAACTGGAGAACATCGGGACAGTAGGAAAGTTTGAGGGTAGGAGAGGCAGTGGAAGATAGAGAGAACAGATGCTGGACAGTTTGACATCATGGCATGGAAGATTATCTGTGTCAGAGTTGATTGAAAGTACACGAGACAGATTGTGGATATACATGACTATCAACGCCACACGGCATGGGCTTTCAGAAGAAGAGCTGAAATGCTATATAAAGATTTTCAGAACACAAAAAGAGAAGAAATACTGAAATTATAAAGATCGGAACATCAAGAAAGATCGCCTAATAAACAGTATCTTGTCTCTGAAGCTGAAATATTTTGGTCATATCAAGCGCCATTGCGGATTTGAAAACAATAATAGCAGAAGGCATGTGACCAGGAAAAAGGTTCAGGGGCCGACCAACACGAAGAGGGTTACATGATATAAGTGCCACCTTGAATATGAAAGTACACAAGGCGAGAGACCGAGTTTCTTTCAGGCAGACCGTTATAAGAGCGACGTTTTGCAAAGGACCTACTTCATTATGATGACTGGTGTGATGCTGACCGCACCATCCACCATTGGTTCATAAAACGATGAAACTGTCATCATATACCCGATGGAATCCTTTACTTAGTTTCAAGGCTTTTGTTCTGAGAGTACGCAGTACAGGCACCTTTTACGCGTCATCTTTGTTTGAGCACTACTGTAACAGACACTCTGTCTTGAGTACCGGTACTTTTTATCAGACATTTTGAGTACCGGTACTTTTTATCAGACATGTTGAGTACCGGTACTTTTTATCAGACATGTTGAGTACCGGCACCTTTCTTACCAGAAACAAAATCCGTGCTTGTTTCCCTACAATAAACAGTAAAAGTAAAAGACGCTTGACCACGACTTCAGGCGTATTGGGCATATAGGGCTTCACCTATGTTTTAAAGACTAATTGGCACTTGGTGGGTGATGTTACCAATAAGGCTGCCTTTGCTTCGCAGGTCAGCTCTATGGCTAAGTCGATACGAACGCTTCGTATTGCCGGGATGCTGGGTTCGATCCCAGCTGCGGGCCATGCGTCTTGCTTTAATTTCAACAGTGGTATCAAGAAAGCCGACCGTCCAGAAGCCATGGCAAACTACTGGACGTAAATTTGCCTAGAAAAACCACACAAAAGCCAGGGGCTGTTGGGGTTGGTTCTGCAACGTCCTGTAAAGGATACGCAACTAACCTTACTTCGCAGGACTATTCCTGGTACCCATTCACAGCTGGGTCAGCTTGGTAGTCAAGTAATTTTTTTTATAGTCCTGACTCCGTCAAGACTCGAACCCACGACCTTCCGATCCACAGGCGAGCGTCTAACCGTTACAACACTGGGGCTTTACAATAAAAAAAAAAAAAAATAACAAATTCACCAACAGCATATTACACAGTAATTAAATCATACTTTCTGTAGTTGGCACATTAGTTTGTTGCGTATTCTTTACATTTACAGGACGTTGCAGAAACAACCCCAGCATTTTTTTTTTCTTTTTTTGGCTGTTGTGTTTTTTCTAGTCAAATTTTACGTTAAGTAGTTTGCCATTGCTTCTTGAACGGTCAGCTCTCAGTACCACTGCCGAAATCAACGCAAAACTAACCGACCGCAGCTGGAATAGAACCCAGCACCCCGGCATTACGAAGCGCGTTCGCAACGCCACAGACGCCAGCAGTACCCACATTACGTACTTTAAAATATCAATTTTACGTTGTGTATTATTGGGTAGCATCTGTTAGCGCCAAACAACAGACACTGGTTACTGTAATCAGCTATTCTTAAATCATGATTGGAGTTGCCAGGAGCACGGTTTTGTCTGTCAAATTCGTATAATTATCCCTTAGCGCGAATATTAGTTTTATTTTTAAACCTGCCTTCCGGCTCTTTCCGGAGTTCGATGGTTTCAGATTTCCATTCAAAACAGATTGCCGGATGGTAGATTATGTCCCAAGTGTTGTACATCTATTCCGGTAATAAAAACAGATCTTCCTAACGCTCTCGGCGTTATTTTTATAGCGTGGGTTATAAATAAAGTAACGAATTCGAACTATTAGACTACATGCGGTTGTGCGGAGTATAGGTGGGTATAGATCAGTTGCGTATCCTTTACTGGACGTTGCAGAACCAACCCAAACAGCCCCTGGCTGTTGTGTGGTTTTTTTTTAAGGACAAATTTACGTCCAGTAGATTAAAGTGGGAATAAGCACCATAAACGGCATCATCATCATCAGGTGCTTTGCCGACTGGCGTGGGCGATCATGCCTCTCCATAATCCACGATCTCCTGCAGCATGTATCAGTTCGTGTGCCGACACACCTGCATGTCATGCATCAAGACTGTCAAGAATCTTCTCTCGTTGTCTTCCTCTATCTCTCTTTCCACAGATCTTTCCAGTGGTCACAACATGTCCTAGCATAAACCGAATACATGAAAAAATGGGGCGAGACAAAGTTTGGTTGATAAAAATAACGTGACATGATATAAAAGTAAGTAAAGGAGCCCTTTTCCGCGCCTTTGGGCGTACTGGGTATAGAGGGCTAGACATATTTTATAGAGCTTCGGCTCGTAATTCCAACGTACCGCGATCGAAACCCACTGCAGGCTGCGTAGATTTTTATCTTGGTATAGGGCATCGCAGTTAGACCCAGCCTAAAATGGGTACCAGGATGGCTGTCCTGGGAAAGTAAAGACGGCCGGCGTAACGATAACCACATTACCCACCTAGTGCTGATTGACCTGTAAAAATGTGGGACTCTCTTCTCGTAAGCCTGATGCGAATAAGGCGTAAAAAGGTATCTTTTACTATATTTTATAGACTAAAGAGCACTTGGTGGGTAATGTGGTCAGCATCACGCCGGCCGCGTTTACTCCCATGACTAAACCTGGTACCCACTCAAGGCTGGGTCGACCTGGGAGCCAAAGTCATTTTTGACAAAGCCCTGTTCCGTCAGGACCCGAACCCACGACCTTCGGATCCGCAGGCAAACATGTAACCGCTACACCACGGCTGACCGCTACACCACGGCGATTGTGACATGATATACCGAAAATTGAATGCTATTATTTGAAATTTTCAAGGTATTTTGTGTATGTGTGTGTGTGTCTTTTACTGAAATAATTTTACTTTCAACATTAACAAAAGAATGTTGAATAGAAATTGAAGCAGTAGCAGCAACATTCGTAGTAGATAGGGCACCAGTTGGTTGGTAGTCTGTTTTCAATAAATAATAAAGGGTAGAACGAGATGTGAAAGAAACAAACGAAGTCATTATATTTGCATTGTTGTATAATAGTAAGAACGGTGAAAGATTGTGATTTACGCAGTGGTGGTAGTCGTAGCAGTTGATGTTCTTGTAGGATTCAGAATAGTGTAATAGTAGCAGCAGGAATGATAATAGCAGCAGGAGTAGTAATACTAGCAACAGCAACAGCAATAGCAGCAACAGTACCAGTAGTAGTAACAGTATTAGTTTCAATAGTAGTAGCAGTAGTAGTAGTAGTAGTAGTAGCAGCAGCAACAGTACTAATTGTAGCCGTCGTAGTACTAGTAAGTAATAGAAGTAGAAAGCATTAGTAGTGGTGGTTGTGGAGGTAGTGGTTGTGGTGATGGTGGTGGTGGTGGTGGAAGTAGTAGTAGTAGTAGTAGTAGTAGTAGTAGTAGTAGTAGTAGTAGTAGTAGTAGTAGTAGTAGTAGTAGTAGTAGTAGTAGCTGCAGCAGCAGCAGCAGTAGTAGTAGTAGTAGTAGTAGTAGTAGTAGTAGTAGTAGTAGTAGTAGTAGTAGTAGTAGTAGCAGTAGTAGTAGTAGTAGTAGTAGAAGTGGTGGTAGTGGTAGTAGTAGTAAATCAAAAAAGTATTTTTTTAAAGTAGCAGTGACATACACTTTTCTGGGGGGATACAAAAATGCTAGTTACAGTCGTTGCAATGTATTCAATAGCAATACAGCAGTATAGTAAAAGTTCATACACATTTTCTATTGAAAGGGCGGTGAATTGGCCTAAACCTCGTTCAAGTGCATGAACATAATAATAATAAGAACAATAACAATAATAATCAGGTCAGCAAAGGAGGGGGTGCAAATGGCGCCTTGACCCGTGGCCCAGGGGCTCAAGGAGGTTTATGGAGGAGAACATTGATCACATTGATTGTTGTATTTGTTCACTGAAGGGTATTCCGTTTTCTATGTAATCCATCGGTAAAATATGAATAGTCGTTAAGATATAGGTTAGTTGCGTATCCTTTACAGGGCGTTGCAGAGCCAACCCCAACAGCCCCTGGCTGTTGTGTAGTTGTTCTAGGCAAATTTACGTCCAGTAGCTTGCCATTGCTCTCTGGACGGTCGGCTTTCTTGATACCACTTCTAAACCAAAGCAAGGCGCATGTCCCGCAGCTGGGATCGAACCCGGTACCTCTGCATTACGAAGCGTTCGCATCGACTTAGCCACGGAGCCAACCTTAAAGATATACATTTTAAAATGTGATAGCGGGTTATGGAGGAGGGCGGGTGCTGGGGAGGGAGGAGTATTTTAACATGACGAAGTTTCAATGCTGAAAATCTGTAACCGAAACTGTCTCTTCTGGAGAGCAGTTAGACTATTATACAACTCATTCCTATGTGGGATGCAATTTTTAGTTATTTAAAGCCCCACCCAGGCTTTTGCCGGGGGCCCCGAATATAGCCTGGCCACAATTGCAACCATAACGGCTGAAAGGGGTTTCTGAAACCTTTCCGCGGTGATCCTCATCCGCATGGTGGCACTTTGTGTCACCGGGTGTTTATCGCTTGTGTGATGTCCTGGTGGGGTACAGCATGCAAGCAGCCTACAGAAACATTATTTTCATGTCGTTGTGTATCATTTTCTAACAAGATTTGTTGCAGTAATAATTCAACGTCTAAATCTGAGCTTTCGTCACAAAGAGATAGTTAGAAGCTACAAATTGACGACAATTCTGTGTTTGCATCCAAGAACATGAGAGAGGCAATACTCACAGGCAGTGTAATCTGGCCTGGCGGGAATTAGAAAGACGTCTGTCAGTTAGATTTGACAGTTTATTGGAGGGATCACAGTTAATGGCTTATCCTTAACAGGAAGTTGCAGAACCAGTCCCAACATTGTTTGGCTCTTGTGGGTTTTCTAGACAAATTTACATGCAGTAGTTTGCCATTGCTTTTTTTTTGGAGGGTCGGCTTCTCGATATCATTGTCAAAACTAACGCAAGACCCGCAGCTGGGATCAACCTGGCACACCAGCATTACAAAGCGCGTTCGCAACGCCTAAGCCACAGACGCCAATGGTGGTATCAACTGAAAAATAATCTGTCAAGTGGTACAACATTATACAACGAATCAATAATGTTGTACATGTTCTTGGTAGACAGGCTTTGTTTTACCCTGGCAGTTCACACCGCATTGCTGTAGAGGACAACATATATTGTCTAGGAGTCATATGGTTTGTTGCGTATCTTTTACAGGACGTTGCAGAGCCAATCCCAACAGACCCTGGCTGTTGTGTGGTTTTTCTAGGAAACTTTTCGTCCATTAGTTTGCCATTGCTCTCTGGACGGTCGGCTTTTTTGATACCACTGTCGAAGCCAACGCAAGGCCATGCCCCGCAGCTGAGACCCAACCCGGCATGCCGGCATTACAAAGCGTTCTCATCGACTTAGCCACACAGCCGACTGGAGTCATTTAGTTGTCGTATATTAAAAGAACATTTGTTGCAAATTAAGGAGTCAAGCGAAAGGGGAGAACGACTTTAAGTACATTTTCATAAAACGCAAGGGAGGTACATTCAGCAATTAAAAACATCATGTGACACAGGGAACTTGCAAAGCATTTTGCTGTTATTGTTAATTCCACTTCAGATTAAACCCATGTTGAACAAACATTTCTTTTTGCGTTATGAAATACCATACAAAAACCTATATGCAATTGTCGAAAGATTTTTTACAGTTTGTTGGCATAAGCCAGACGACAAGATATAACATATCACAGGCCAAGTTAAAGCACAGATGATACTAGAAACACTGAATGAACACAAAATACCACAGTCGGATTCTCGAGCACAGGGCTATGACGATGCAGACAACATGGCAAGAAAATATAAAGGTGCACACGTAAGAATACTTGAGCAATATACAACAGCTTTATTTTCACCTTGTGTTCATTCAATGTTTGAATATGTGGAAATGATGTGACGCAGAATGCATTCCTGAAGCCATAACATACTTTGGAACTGTACAAACTGTTTACAACTTTTTAGTTATAGTCCAAACCGACGGGGAATCTTGCAGAAGTGTTTTGGCTGTTCTCTTCACGGCATGTTTGGCACAGGATGATCAGACCGTATTGAAAGTATAAATCTCTTTGTAGCCAACCTGCCAGGTCTCAAATTTACCATTGAAAGTTTCTTAGAGTAGAACTTGACTGC